ACATGTATTCACCAAAATATATACACTACAATATCCACAGAAGTTATATTCATCATAGCCTAAAACCAAAAACTACCCAAATGAGCAAGAGTGGGAACTTATGAGATGTGAATAATACTTTATTTCTTTTTTTTTAAAGATTTTATTTATTTATTTGAGAGAGAGAATGAGAGACAGAGAGCACAAGAGGGAAGAGGGTCAGAGGGAGAACCAGACCCCCTGCTGAGCAGGGAGCCCGATGTGGGACTCGATCCTGGGACTCCAGGATCATGACCTGAGCCGAAGGCAGTCGCTTAACCAACTGAGCCACCCAGGCGCCCTAATACTTTATTTCTTGATTTGGATGCTAGTTATACATGTGTGCCCATGTTGTGAAAGTTTATTAAACTGTGTTCTTTCCTAAATTATACTTCAATAAAATTAAAAGAAATTTAATTTTAAAATTAAATTCATGGAACACTGCATCAAAAACTAATGATGTAATGTATGGTGGTTAACAATAAAAAAATTATTAAAAAAAAAAAAAAAAAAATTAAAATTAGACATTCAATTAAAATTAAAAGAAATTTACTTTCATTATATAACAGCACAATTATTATTAGATTTTTAAAAAAATTAATGCTAAGCAAAATAAGTCAATCAGAGAAAGACAATTATCATATGCTCTCACTGATATGTGGAATTTGAGAAACAAGGCAGAGAATCATAGGGGAAGAAAGGAAAAAATAAAACAAGATGAAACCAGAAAGGGAGATAAACCATAAGAGACTCTTAATCTCAGGAAACAAATTGAGGGTTGCTGGAATGGAGGAGGTTGGGAGAGATGGGGTGGCTGGGTGATGGACACTGGGGAGGGTATGTGCTATGGTGAGTGCTATGAATTGTGTAAGACTGATGAATCACAGACCTGTACCCCTGAAACAAATAATATGTTATATGTTAATTTAAAAAATTAAAAAAAATAAAAAAATTAATGATCACACATATAAAAGTAGTCATATGATTTTCCTAACCTTAGTCCTACATGGATAAAAAAACCAAATCTATCGTAGTAAAACAAAAACACTTAATTGTCAATCGTTTGGATTTTTACCTAAATTCTTACTTGATTTTTGGCCAACCTTCAACATATTGCTTTAATAAGTAATTTTTGTGTTTTTTTTTCACAAGGGATTTAAAATTAGTAATGTATGGGGAATTTTAAGGCACTCTTTCGAATAATACCTCTGATGTTATTGTAAACTCACTTACTCTCCTAGACATATATACCTTTTTTGATGAACATATGTCTTTGGGCCAGGTCATGATAAAATAGAAAACTTTAGTCTCAACACACCTGTCTGACAATAAAGTTATAGGTAGCTTTACTCCACTTCAGGGAGGAAATATAATTGTTTGGTCATGGCCTTGCAAGAGTTTGGCAGAATAATCAACAAATATTCATTTAAAATCTCATATATATACCACCATGCTTAAATATGGGGCTATATTCTTCTGGCATGGTATATTGTTTCTTCTCTTGGAAGATTTACAATCTACCTGAAGAGGGACATACTCATACACATTAGTTAATGACCTAGGCACACATAGGTGTTAGATACAGAAAAAAAGTAAAAAGAAAGAAAGGAAAAAACATCAGAACTCTAAAATGGTGCCCCAAGAGTGGAGTTCTTGGCTGTCAGAGAAGGCTTCCCAGAGGCAGCTTGGTAGATTAACAAAATTATTTTCCACAAAGCAAATTTGGTTTTAAATTTGAGTTTTTTCCCCTTTCCAAATATAAGCTTAACCACTTGGAGCTTTAAGTTTTTCATCTGAGAATGAGGACTGATGGCAACAATTTCCACTTCACAGGTTTGTGAGGTTAGATGAGATAATTCAGTAAAATAGCAGGTTCCCCTCGTCTGCATAGCTGATCCTTCTTTTGGATGAATAAATAGCCACCAAGGATCTTTGGTGTCTGACACGGAGCATTAGGGAGGATGGGGCGGTAGGGACTTGGTAGATACACTAAGTGTTAGAGAGGGGAGGGAGAAGGAGGTATTATAGGTTTAAAATGAAAAAAAATGAGTAACAAAAGTACAGTACAGCATGATGAAAACAAGACAGGACAGTGTTTGGGAAACCTAGAGGAACAGATAAAACAAAAGATGTTTCTTTACAGGCTGGCAAACCCAGTAACAGGCTGGCTTTGGTGAAGAAACCTATCATCCTTGAATATTTAATAACTTTCAAGTGGACAAAGGATACTTATACCCATATTTACTTACATGTATGAAATGACTAGAAGACAAATGATGAAATGTACTAGCTTTTGTTGTATAGGCTTTGGTTTTTTGTCCCACAGGAATTTAGAGAAGGGAAAGCACACTGTGGTCCATAGTGTCAGGGAAGGTACGAGCTCAGACTTGAAGGATGGATAGAACAAGAATCCAAGGAAATGAGAGGGTTTATTCTACACAGGTGTGGCATCATGCAAAGATTCATCAGACAGAGCATTCTGCCATAGACTGATTTTTTACTTAAATATGTATCAGAACAAAAATCATTTGGATAAGAGATGCTAATTTTGAGGGGTTATAGAGAGGTGAGGAGAGGTGGCAAGGCAAAAACTCATTTTTCCTAGATAGAAATTACATGTTTGAGGCTGATTCAAAACAAGTGGGCTCCTCTTGAAGAAACAGTGGGGGTGAAAGAGGCTTAGGTATCTGATTTTACCCCAAAGTATGAGTTCCCTCAGATTTTATGGTAAGTATATCAAAATTATCCAGATTCATTTATGATGAGATTGTCCCTATACCTCATTTCTCAAACTTCACCATTAAAACTATAAAACCCCCATTAAGCTGTTTACCTCTATACACAAAGAGTGACCCTCTTGGAGAATTAGTAAGTTAAGCCATTATCTGTCTTAGCTACACCTGGATTTGCTTAAGTTGCTAAGATCCTAAAGGGCATATTTTCCAAAAAGTAAGTAAAAAGATAGCAATGTCTGCCTTTGCTATGAAAAGGTGCATGGTATGGGGAGAGAAGAACAGGATTTCTGCATCAACTGCAGAACCTTTAGGCTCAAAAACTAAAGAGCCTGATGCCACATCCCTTTTCAGCATACCTCAAAGCCCAACACATCCTTCAGAGCACTTAGCCTGTTTGGTATGTACTAAGAGGTAAATGGCATGAGTTTATCTCTGAAAGATCTGGATTTAAATCCAGATCTGGTTGTGTTTTTTTTCCCCCCCTTGGGCCCTGATCTGAACCAATTTCCTTATCAGTGCCATGTGCTTAATAACAGTAGTAGCTTCCTCAGAGTTGTTGAGAATATTAAATAAGAATATATGTAAGGACTCCAGAACACAAGGGTGCCCTATTGTTGTCAGGTAATAATAATCAATATTACAATCACTGTTATATTTATGGCTCCTGGGTCCTGAGTCTTGCCAAGTTAGGGGGGTGGGGTGAGAAGGAAGGAGGGTCTGCTTGTTTATTGTGTTTGTGGCACTCTTGAAACAGCCCCAGACTCGGGCGAGAACGACAGCGGGCTGCTCCCTCAGCTGGCATCTTCTCTCCCCTGCTCCACCCACGCTTCCCCGGAGCAACAAGTTCCCTACTGCAAGACCCGCCCGCGCGCCACTGGCGCCTCCTCCCAGACCTCTGACTTACTCTCTTTGAAACCCACCTGGGGTCGAAATCGCAGCTGCCAACGCCCTACCGAGGAGGGAGAGCCGACCGCATGTGAGGGAGCCTTCGGGGCACCTGGGAGGGAGGCGGGAGGCATGGGAAGTCGGGACAGAGGGACTGATAGGAGACCTAGTTCGCGCTGCCCTTGAGAGGCAAAAGCAACAGACGAAAGCACCCGCCGCTCATCTTCAGCCTCTCTCCTGGGATCAGGAGGGAGGGGAGAGATTCCCGAATCCCACAGACCTCCACCCAGCCCTCTGGTTGCCAAATAGCATCCCTATGTCCTCCAGGCTCCCCTCGCCCGGTTTCTCCTTGCACCCTCACTCCACCCCACTTTTCGCCAGGTTCCCTAAGGACACTTGCGATTTCTAACAAGATATTTTGCAAGAAGGACAAGTAGGTAAGCCAAGGCTCTCACCCAGCACTCTCCTCTCCGCTGCTCTCCCAGAATGGATACCCTGGAGTCGCCAAAGGAGTCCCAAGGCATCCTAGGTTGGGAGCCTTATCTAGCTGCCCAAACAGTTGAACTCTGACAACTTCTTGGAATAGGGATCCTCGCGCCCTCGTGGGGAAAGCCAAGCTGGCCGCCCACACACGGGGAGAGACACCCCGATTTCTCCATAGGGAACTCCTCTCAAAATCTACCTTTCCAGCTTCTACAGCTGTGAGTTGAGAATCAGAGAGCTAACTAAGGAGTACGCTTCGGGGGCGGACGCTCGTGGGCAGGGGTGAGGGCGAGAAGTTCCACCCCGATTTTGGAAAGAAAACCCAGTTCATGTCTCCAAGTCTCCTGCAGCCAGGGAGCTGTTGTTCCTGGAAAAGAGCAGGGACCGAAGACACCGGGAGGGAAGTCCTCCTAGCGCGGGATCCGAAAAGCACTGAGGTGAATTGCAATGTCCAAGCTTTTAGCCTTGTCCGTCGGAAACTACTCTTTCTCCAGGAGATGGGGGAGGGGGATACATCCCTGGTAAAGACTGCCAACGTCAAGCCCAGATGTTCAGCACTTCATTCCTCCATCCCCACGCAGCCTTGAGAACTTGGTACCTCGGACAGCAGCCCGGGCGCAAGGCATTGTTAGAAAGGTGTTACCTTGTTTTTGCCACCAAGTCAAAGAGCAATAAATTATTTTTATGACCTTACTAGTACAATTTGAAGGGCATTTTAATTACATAACCCGTGAAAGATCACCGGAGGCAATGTCGTGTTAAAGAGCCCATGGCAGAATATCTGCATCGCATGAGAAAGAAAACTTGCAAATCTGCAATGAGATTGCGCAGGGCTGCCCCCGTTTTGAAACAACATGCGAAATGCAAGGGAGATCTTACCTTTCGGACTCCAAAGCCGTGTTCTGCTGCAACTTGGCGAGCTTCTTCCTCTCCTCCTTTATGCAACTCCACAAGAAAATGATTCGTGAAGACCGGTCTCTCGGCAGATGCAAAAACCATGACACAGAAGAGGAGCCCCGCGGCCGCCTTCCACTGGGAGACACAGCCACCTTTCATCTTTCTCTGGGAGTGAAAAGTGGTGCTAAGAGGCGCGCAGGCTGGTGGAGCGGGGGACTCGGAGGAAAGGTGCAAATAGAAAAATATATGTAGTTTTTTTGTTTGTTTAAAAAAAAATCTTTGTGTTGGGAAAAAGACTGATTAGGGGGTCGGAAAGCAGCAAATCAATGTGTGTTCTCCTCCAGCATCTGGCTGGCGGGGAAGCCGTGTAGTCAGGCTCGCTGGCAGAGGTGCGAATGTGGGGTGCTGTGTGTATCTGAGAGAAAGAACGAGTGTATGTCTGTGCTTGAGGCTAAATCTGCATTTTCAGCTCCTCCTCGGCTCCAATTCCACTGGGACCGGAGGAGAGCACCAGCCTGGGTGACGTGCGCCCGCCAGCAGCCAATGAAGGCCGGAGATGCGGCGGGCCCCGCCCTGGACCTCCCCTGGCCCGCCTCTGCCCGCCCCCGGCCTGGCCGGTCCGCCTCCGCCGACTGGGGGCGCCGCGCGGCGAGCCCGCCCGCCCCCGCCCCTTTCAGAACCCTGGAGAGCTCCTCCATCTCTCCACCCGGGCCCGCCTTGTTCCCAGGAAAATCCCCCCGGCTGTAATCTGGTCGGCGGCGCCGGAGTGATGTCATTGTTTGTGGAAATCTGTAAGGCTCTGGAAAGGGAATTACGGCGTGTACTGCTCTCTGAGGCCCGGAGGGGAGCTGGGGCACCGGCCTCTCCCTATTCCTCTCCCCTGCTTATTTTCCGCTGCAAAACAACTCTTTCTCTCCCTCACTCTCTCAAGGCATACTTGCCTCTCTTTCTCTCAATAACAAAGCAAATATTAACCCTCCTCTCACCACTTTGGGCAAATCCTGGGGGGGGGGTTACTCCCCTTCCCGGCACGGGGAAGGTTGAGGAAAGCAGCTTTCTTTGGGTGACTCATGGGGGCTAGTATTTATTTATTTATATTTTTGTAGGCTTCGGGCTTGTCTAGAACTAAGCAGCTGGGAAGCCTAGCAGGAGATCAGACTCACTCCCACTAGCAACTGTGATTAGATGAGACTCCTCCTGGAGTCTGGGCTGCTCCGTAGAGACCGCCTTCAAGAGAGGCGCGGCCGGGGTTGACATGCCTGGAGGTACATTCTCAGACTTGGGGACGTTCCGTTGCGCAAGGACAGCGAGGGTGTGCGTTTGGGAAGGTGTAGCCACCAATCCTAGGCTCTGGGCCAAGACTCCAGTTGGGCATTCTCAAATGGGGTGAATTCAGGCCAAGTGGCAGCGGGTCAGCTAAATTATCCAGTTAAGAAACGTGCACTCACAGCCTACTAACGGCTTACACTTCTTCCTGCCCCAGTGAGAGGAAGCAGGGGCGAGATGTCTGCCAAGAAATCTGGGCGATTGTTTTAAAGCAACTCAAATATTGTTGAGTTACAGAGTGTGCACACTGATTCCCATTATCATTTCGCTCCAAAGTTCAAAATCCTGCTTTACTTGGATAAGAAGTAAGAGACCTTTTTCTTAGAGGCTTAATTAAGTGTATGCAGTACAGCCAGAGAGAGAAAGAGACAGAGGAAGAGGTAGACAAGGAGAGAGAAAGGGAGAGAGAGAATAATGTTGACACATTTTACATACACACACGTTTTATTTTCAACAGACTTCCCCCTTTTCATTTTAGCATGAAGTCAGAATCAACACAAGAAAAGCAGTGTTGGTAGAAATGAATACACACAATGCCATGGGATACATTGTCTTCAGAGCAGATCATCTTTGCTGGCACAGTTGGCTCCCCCAGAGCCCTTTTAAACATTGCCAAATAAAAATGCAGACATTACTGAAAATTTTGATTGAAGCATAAGAAATCTGTATGCAATTATTTTTAGTAGAGTAGTGTTAGTACTGGAACTCCTTTAAGAAAAGCTAAGTGAGATGCTGAGAAGGTGCTAGTACATAGACTAAAGATGAAAGGGGCCAAAGTGGAGACAAGCTTTCTGAGAAAGTATTAATAAAAGGGAACAGAGCTGCTCTGGGTTCCTCAGTTCTTTACTGCCCAGAGGCTCATTCTGCTGAGATTTTTTTTTTTATCACCCTATCCTACTCCACATCTTACCTCTCACAGTCCGTCTGTTTGATTTTAACATGAGCTTTTCTTACTAAGAGACCTTCAGGTTTTCCTTTCTCTCTTTTCCTTATATTTCACCCATATTTCAAATCAAAGTACTAGGCTGGTATGAAGAAATGCCAAATGATTCTTCCTGCCCTGTATTGTCATTTGAGAAAAATGGCACCAAATGTGAAAATTACATTAGATGGATTCACAATCATGGAGAGCATTTCAAAAGCAGCAACAGAGATAAAAATCTAAGTCTTAAGAAAAATAGATCTGAAGAGCATCAAATAAGTCAATTTAGAAGATTATGGGTGTTGGGAAATAGCACTGCTAATGTAGCTAAATCTCCCTGAAAATGAACATGAAATTACCATCTATTCAGAGATATTTATTAATTTTTTTCTAAAACCACAAAGCAATACTTCATTTCCTAAATAAATTCCGAAGATGAAGTGCTAGTAAATGTTGAATCTTATGTATTTGGATTTTTAGTAATTAAAACCATGTAAAATTGGGTACAAGCTAAATAAAGCCTGGATAGCTGATTAAAATAAGACATTTTTAGTGGTTTACATAGAATACAGTTCATCATAATATTGTCAGAACAGCATAGCAAATGAAAATGGAAGTTTTTTTGTGATGCAAATGTTTAGTTTTAAATGCATAACAATGTATGCAAGTGGAGGAAATATATTGATACATTGAATTGTTACTTCAAATACAAAGACACATCCATATACATTCACACATAGCTTCTTTAAGTTAACTATTTCTAAGCTCCTTTTTTTTTTTTTGAATACCAATAGTAATTTTGGAGCAAGAAGGGGAACAGGAGAGAAAATGGTAGCAGAATGTTTCAAGGACTAAAATAGAATCCAGTTGACAGGAACTCTATTGCAGGCTCTGTTGTCACTGGCTATGCCACTTGGGCTAAATCATTGTATCCCTCAAAGCCTCTATCTCCTTATCTGTAAAAGGAGACAGTTGGGTTAGATAACCTCCAGGTCCAAGAGCCAAACTCTAATTTCAAAGAGTTGCTAAAGTAGACCATGATGTAGAAAGAATCATCAATAACTTGAGAGATGTTAAGGACAGTCATACTTTTTTTATTATATTATGATGGCCAATGGTCTTGTTCATTTTTATATACTCCCCCTCATACACACACCAATAGTCTCTTATTTGCTAATTTTGTGGATCTCAGGAAAGAATAACTAACAAAAATGGCTGACACTCAGTAATAGACATGAAAATCATCAGTATGTTGAGGTTCTTCCTATTTAAGATTCTAGTGTATCTATAGAAAAAAACAAACAAACTTAAGTTTGGTTCTAGTTCAAATGTGCTACATAATCCCTAGAGTCTCTTTGAAGACATTGTCTTACAAACACCAGAATATTCCCATTACACGGATTCATAACTATAAATCAACAGACCTATGTGTGATTAAAAGAACCCAAACCACCTGAGCTATGATTGGTATGCTGCCATTCAGATATACTTCCAGGGATAACTTTGGGCACAGGGTGCTTCAGGTCAAGGAAAACCCATCACTGGGGAAGAGAGAGAAAGTTAGAAGCAGCCCTAGGTGAGGCTGCTGGTTCTTTGAATATTCTTTGGTCCATTAGGGAAAAGGTCTTATGTTTCTGTTTATTTCCATTGGGTGGGGTGTAACCTGAAGGGGAATAGACATGTACAACAGAAGGTGCAATTTAAAATACAGCCTTCTTAAAAATCCACTTGAGTTTTGTCATTACTATTGCATTCATTCTGAGCATTTTAAGTCCAGTAAAAATAATTTCACTGGGTGCCACAGTTCTTTACTATCATACTGTATTACCAACCCTTTCAAGTTGATTCCACCTAATGACCCTGTTCTTCCTGTTCCTTCCACCCCAGCCCATTCTCAGGCTTCCTGAAGTATTGTTACCACTGTACAGGTTGCTGCCAAATTTCAAATTCAACATTTTCTCCAGATAATTTTTTTTCCAAGCTCTCACCTCATTTCCCTATGATATTTATCTACACTCTCATGTTTTCTGCAACTTAAAATTCAGGTATTTGGAAAATTTTAATTCATTCCCTAGTGTATACCCACTCCTTCTAAATCATTGAGATTTCCTCGGTCTGTCCTCCAATTTCTATAGCTTTTATCACCTTATACCTTTTCCTTAAATGACTTATCTCTGTTTTTCCTTCAGTTGCGACGTCTCAGCTGACTTTAGTTAAGTAAGCCGTCTTAAATTAATACAGTGGGGAGGACTCATGGGGCATTATCAAGTGTTTTATTATCATCAACGCATTTAATTTAGAGTGTTTGGGGTTGTCTTCATTTTATAATTTCATCAACAAACCATCAAATTTATTCAGACTAATCAACTATTCATAAATAAAAGCTACTCATTGCTTCCTTATTTTCCAAGACAGTAAAAACATTTTTGTGTGTTAATTCAGGTTCTATTATTTTGATAGGAATTGAAGTAGCTAAACAATGAAGACCAAGAACCCTTTTAATCTTCTTTTGAAAATTAGGAACACATTTCTATTCACTATCTTTAGATTCCTTTTTAGGTCTACAGGGCTACAAAATAATGTTTGCTCACTTGGAAAATTAATTAACTATTTTTCAGGGCTTATTGGAACATTGCTTATTGTCTGTAGAAAGTGATTACCTATTCATGAATTCCCTACCTTGTGTTATTTCTCTTTTCTTTTTCATGGTCTTAAAAAAATACAGTAAATCTTCCTCACTTCACTTTTTGAATGATTATGGAAATTATCTTTAACAGGGAGATTTTTTTCGTACTCCTCAAATAATGTAAAGAGAACAAAGTACATGGCTTGTTAGCAAATATAAACTGAATTTAAGGAGATAAAAATTTTATGAGTGAAATAAAAGTTCAGATGTTAAAATGTACGTACTAGTTTTTTAAGGCTAACCCTGCCATTGCAATGAAAGACCTGATTTTAGAAAGTCCTCACTTAGGCCTACTTCTCTAGTAGTAGTAATTATACACTATTTAGTATTGATTTGAATGACCTCGCCACAAGTAGAGAAATTGATGTATAATGTTATTTAATATGCTGGAAGAATAGCTATAAATTGATGACTGTGCTCTTGGATATCTCATTTTCTATGCCTTGTGAAAATATTCTGTGCTTTCATGGTTTTAGAAACATGGCATAGTCTATTTTTAGGAAATTCATC